TTTTAAGGAAAAAAGTTCGATTGATTAGATTTTCCTTAGTAAAAGCGTCAAGTAGATTCAAACTTAAATGAAAAAAGTGCAAAACTTAAAAAGTTGGTAATAATTTTTACGTTTATTTTAATTTATACTAGTGCCGACAAGAAAATAATGATATGTAACAATTTTCAGGAATTAACGGAAACGGAAAGGCACCTCGTTCTTTCAAGAAGCCGAGTAAGGGAGGATCCAGAAAGGAAAACCCCACTGCGTAAAGGAGACTGAGTTTGGAAATCCGTTTACGGTGTCCGTATTCTCTTATAATCTATTTTATAATCTATTATAAATTATTTTCCGCAGCGACGGGAAATGAGGTTTATATGACGTCATGGCGGTGTTTTTCGACTTTAGCCAGTACGACATAATAATAATGAGAACCGTAAAACAAATCTTTCATTTTTAATAATACAGTTACGTTAGTTAAAGAATTTAAAAAACCTTTTGCCTTTATTAATATGATACCATCGTGCCGATTGAGAATTATAAAAAACATTCGCCCTAAATAATTATCGTATTCTATCAAGTGACTGGGATAATTTTAAGATCTTCATTTAGGTAATACTATTGCAAACGGCTAAAGAATTTTAAAGACTTTCGCCTAAAATAAAACTATTGTGTAAACTTAGAGAATTATCTTCAAATCTGATATAAAAATTTAAGGTACACCCAGGAAATAACAACTGTAAATTTGTTTTTTTTTACTGATTGAAGTAGTGATTATAGGTAGAATAAAGGTTATTTTACTTTATTTTACTCGTGCCAAAGCCACAAGATTATTTTGCATCTGAGTAACGTTAATTAATCAAAAATATTTTTTTATTTAATATAATTGCTTAAAATATGACATTTAATATAAACTAAAGATTTTTGTTTTTTGACATGAAGGTGGGTTTTATTAGTCAATTCTATCGATCGTTATAATTAAGATAGCTATTACACATATCTTGATTAATCAATAAGTATTCAACTTTTTTTTTATTAAAAATTAACCACATATTTTGACTTTGATAACATTGGGTTAAATTTTTGAAAGCTGGACTTAATTCAAGATTAGTTATCGGATGCCTAGTTTATCATGGGCCTTGAAAAATAAACGAATTTTGAATATGAAAAAAGTTACCATGTAAAAAAAAAGTGCCAGTTACTTTTGAAAAACGAATATTAATAACCTTAAATGAATGTCGCGTTAAAAAAAAAATACATCCATAAATCAGTTAAGCAAAAACAATCTTTCTAGAATATGTATATCTTTCTTTTTTGTTGAATTCTACTTAAAACCACTTCCTTCTCTTCTTACCCATTTCACTTGATCAGTTTAGTGACTTGAATCGGTTAAGCTATAATCGGTTAACTGACCCGTACCGAATAAATTTCGGGTAACCGGTTGAGGAATTCTTAATCGGTTGACCCGGTACAACCAGTTGGTGGGATCCGAAAATAACAAAATGATGTAATAAGGAGAGAATAAATGTTCCGAAAAGTTCCGAAAAAATAAATGAACGAACAAAAATTAGTAAACTTCGAAAATTTCCGAAGGTAAAAGAGTATTAATCTTAACCGGTTGGCAACCGGCTGAATGAAAATTATTCGGTTCGGTTAACCGATTAAGGAAAATTTTCTCGGTCAAATCACTAGATCAGTTTCAGTTCTTCACTATTCTCTTCCGTGAGTTTTGTTACTGCTATTAAATCCTCATTATTGCATACTTTTAGTACAAGTTATTGTCACGGTAAGGTGCCCTTAGGAGCGATTAGCAGATAAAACCTGCCCTTTGCTCAATTTGTCTAATTTATTAAGGATTTCTTGTTAAATCAACTGTTGCTAGTCTATTCTGTTTTCTAAATTAAGGACTTTGTCCTTTTTATCTTTTGGTTGTGGGTTTATGAATTGTTTATAGAATTTCTTCTCTGCGGATGATCGTGAAATCGGATGATGGTAAACTTTGTATCTATTTTATAACCGGTTTTTAAAAATTTTTGGGCCTTTTTTCATTTAAGTTTGAATCTACTTGACGCTTTTACTAAGGAAAATCTAATCAATCGAACTTTTTTCCTTAAAA